TCCTCCGCTTGTTCACCAGTGTTCTCTTGCACCTTTGCAAGGCTGGACAAGAAGAGATCATGATTCAAGGTTCTGGGGTATTGAGATGAGATGTCAGGCTCACACATTTCCTGAGACGAGCAGGAAAGACAGCGGAGGTGGGAGGGATAGTGCACATGCTAACTACATATGTGGTTGTTAACTACACGTCAGGGGGATGGGGAGATAGCTCAGTGGTCTAAGTGCCTGCCTGGCAAGTGCAAGGACCTGAGTTTGATCCCGGTACTACATGCTGTGTCAGCCCTGAAACCCCAGCATGCAAAGCCAGCCACCAAAACTGGGTGTGGTGGCATATGCCTGCAATCCCAGCGCTGGGCAGGCTGAGACAGGAGGATCATTATGAGGCTGGGCTGTGTAGTGAGACCCTGTACCAAATACATAAATAGTTAAAAAACAACAAGAATGTGTCAGGCACTGTAAGAACCTGCATAACCTCTACTTTTATACTATATGGTTAAAGACACAAGGCGTCTGAGCCTTAGAGAAGTGAAATCACCTGCTTAAGGTCACAGATTAGAAAGCAACAGAGGCAAGTGCTGGGCCCACGATGTTTGGCTTGTCTCCATTGTCCTAACTATAGAGCCCCCTAGTCTTCTTCTGAAGCGCTAACAATTTTGGGTGATAGATGCCTTCCTGACTTGGTTGCGTATGTCCTACGACTTATTCATACAAGGTTGAATCGCCCACCCTACCTGCTCTCTCTGTGTATGCCTTTTCTCTCAGGTTACCCTGGTTGAGAATATGGGAAATCAGGCAGTGACTGCCAGGGAAAACGGGGCAGGCTTGCTCTGACTCTAGTGGTCACATTTAATATTTGGTGCAAGGTCCATTCAAAGCGACTGCTTTGCTATGACCTAAGGAAGGGAACGATGAGATGATGTTGACATATAGTAATGGTGTTGAAAGGTAAGGTTGTTGCTGCCATGTGGTTTATGCCAAGGCAAATGACTTGCGGCACCAGGGCGGGATAGAAGTGAGCTATCCTTGATGGAGAGACCCACTTTTCCTTGTTTGACATTAGGCTCTGCTTGTTTCCTTCTCAGCTCACTTCTACTTTCTGTCATCAATGCCTTCATGCAAATTGTTGGTGGTAAAACTGGGCATTTCTGTAGTCTTGGACATTTGAGTAGATGGGAGAGAACTAGAAAACTACATGATTCAAATATGTTTTGAAGTAATTTTAATGCATGACTCTAGGTTTATTATGAAAATCTGCATAGATTTTGCCAAAGTTCCTCACTTGCCAGAGACTCTAATTCAGATTTTAAAGCCCAGGCCCAAGTGCCGGTCTCTTTTTCTGGCTTGATTCCTAGTCCCTGGGTGGAAGGAGATGAAGTAGCTCCTTTGGGGGACTAAACACTAACCCATTCCGGGTAAATGAATACTTCTAGCTTTTATGACAAGATATAATTTTAATCTTTCATGATGTATCCATATGCCATTATTAAGATAATAAATATTTTCAAATTATTCTTCAAAACAAGATGGTGCATACAAAAAAATCAATGAAATAATATGTGTAGCTGCGTTGCTAGCACAAAAGGCATCAACCACACAGAAGACGCAAATTTTAATGTGTAAAAGCCTATCTAGCCCTGGACCTTTCAGACATGGACACCATTCAGCAAGACTGTATCCAAGTAAGGATTGTTAATGCCCTTGCAGGCACAAGAATAAGGTTCTCATTCTGAGCATAAGTACTTCCCTAAGGGCATCCCTCTGCATGGAGTATCTGTAACTATATAAATGTACTGGGACCCAGAGCTTAACTGTAAGATCTCTAAGGATGGGCCAGAGGAACTGTATGCTCAACTTAACACATACATATTGAGTTCTGTTCTGGTTATCTAATGTTGTATAACAAACAATCCCCAAACACAGTGGCTTAAAACAATAATTTAAAAATGAACTTTTAGTTTTCTAGAGGTTCAGAGGTATCTTATTTGGGGTTTAGTGGTGTCTTACTTGGTGTCCTTCATACAGTTGCTATCAAATGGCTATGCAGGCTGGGGTCACTGGAGGCATTGTCCTCTCTTTCCTGGTGCCTGTGTTGGTTGGGAATCTTGCCTGCCTCATGTAGCTAGCTTGGGCTTCCTCATAGCAAGGTTATCTCAAAGCACTTGGACATTTTTACATAGTAGTATGTTTCTACCTCCAATGACCCACATGGGAACTACAAAGCTTATTCCGATTTAGAAATCTTTCAAGCACTTTTTCTGCCAAAATCCATTGTTTAGAGGAATCACAGAATATCCCAGAGTCCAGGAGAGGAGGAAAGGGTGGAATTGGCTATGATTACAGGGGGAGCTTGGGAACAGTAGCCATCTTGAAGGACCAGTGCCCTGGGTTCTAGCCACTGAAACTTCAGGGGCTGGCATGGAGGTGCTAGTACTGAATGGAATGCGGTTTCTGCATACCAGGAGGTGCAGGGCTGACACAGCACAGAAGGCAATTGGCTGCTACAAACGGATGAACTGTAGAGACAGATGAGACAGTGGAATTTTCATCTCTCTACAGGACCCCTCTAGGAATACTTGGCTTAGAGCAGAAATTACTTATATTTGGGTCAAGAAAGACAATTTCTTTAACAGATCAAGGATCTATAAAAGATATATTTGATGGCAGCTCCATGGGGAGGGAGACTGGCATGTAGAACAGTGGCTGTGAACTATAAGTTTCCTAAAGAAAACTCCTTTGTGAGTTGGGAGTCTTGTGCCCTGGTTAAAAACAACTCTGTGCCATACTTTTTGGTTTTTTCAGACCAATGAAAACTATCAGGAATCTGTAAGTTACAGGTATAAACCTTGAAGCTGGTTCTTACCACTAGGCATTGATCTGTCTTTGCCAAGGGGATCACTAGGTGTGAGGAGATTTAATATTTTCTTAAGCTTGGCTTTCTCAGTTTTCAGTCACAGCTCAAATGTCACCACCCTGGTGAGCCCTGCTGTTTGCACATTCTTGTCTAGAGGAGTGAAGTGTTTCTCCACTTCCAGCTCACACTCTGTCCCGTCATATGATTTATTGCTCTCCTACTGCCTGTATTTATCTTGTTTATCTAAACCTTATTGTCTAGTTCCCACCTCCTATTGCGGCTGATTTACTTCCTGGCACATAGTAGCTGTTCGATAAAAATTTCTTAAATAAAAATAATAAGTGTTTAGAATCTAGAAAGAAGCACATTAATGGCCACTGAAGTTGGTTTAATGACTACCAGGACTAGTATCCATTTTTTTTTCAGAGTAAGTAAAACAAAAATGTACAATTCTCGAGGAAAAGTCCAAGATTTGTCCCACATTTTTATCCTGTACTTAGAATTCAGCTTGAATTTTATTCCTCAGTCACTAGTGGAAATTAAAAGGCCACACTAGGCTTGGAAGTGGTGGTCAACTGTTTGTGGGTGATACAATCAGGGGAAAAGTCAGATTTAGGATTGCAGTTAGTCAGGTCTCTGTCTTGTTCTACCTTGTATATACTGTAACGTTGATCTATTGATCGGGAATGAGTGTTTTTCAATTTCCTAGCAGATACAGCAGCGTGAGGGTAAGGATGCAAGGTGAATGTGCCATCAGGCTGCCCTTGCAGGGAGCTTGTTTCTTTCAGGATCTCTTTGATTTGTGCAGGTGGCAAGTTGTATGGCCCACATGCTTGCCATCATGTATGACCTCCAGGAGCTTGGGTAGGTTTCTCAAACTTCTCTGCTTCAGTTTTTCCTGCTGTATAGTGAAGATATCAACCATACCTATCTCTAGGGTTGGCATAGGAAGTTAATATAGGGAAAAGCTTAGCATAGTACCTAGCATGCAGTAAGCATCATCTAAGGATTTGCTAACGTTGCTATGAGTGAAGACCATTTGCAAAGTGCTGGCATTATCATTTCATTGTGACCATAAGACAACTGCTTCAGGGCAGGTAGATCATATGTAAACATTTTCTTTTCAAAAGTTTCTATAAAGTTGTTATATTAATAAAAACCTATTTACTATAAGATTGACGTGTGGTACAAGGATAATTATACCGCTAGCTCTCTGTGTTCAGATGAGGAGGTCCTCCAAAGTTCGCTGGGGACACACATGGACCTACAGGACACTTATGTCAGGACTCAGCAACTGCACATAAAGGGCTAGACGACATTACCTAGAAGAGAGCCAGACGTGGGCCAGGGTACGTGGCCCATTTGGTGAGGTGCGTGGAGAGCTTGACTTGAAACTAAAAGACCTGAGACAGCTTTTGGACCTGGCTGAGTTAAGTGTCAGCATATGATCTTGTCTCTTTGCATTTTCTGTAAAATGAGGATAGAAGTTCCCGCCTCCTTCAAAATCCTCTGAAGTCTAGATGAGAAGTAAATGGGGGAAGGCTTACACAACTCCAAGTTTGTATGACACTATTAGACACCAATATTCAAGGCCTGGTGTTTGTTTTCTCTACACATCCTCTCTGCATCCCTCCTTCCTTTTGTTTTTCTGTTCTCAACCTCATTATTTTAAACTAAAAATTTTGACTTCTATTGATGTAAAAACACATCTCTGCTATGGGACACTCTCCTTTGAGGTTATTCTAAAAGAGACTGGTATTATGAGCTAATTTTAGAGGATTAAACAAGTACCTACTGAGCATCTGAGAGGAGAAATAAATGTAACAAGGAGAAGCTAGCAGGCAGTGAATTTCACTAGTTTGTTCAAAACCGACCTTAGTAACATCAAAAACAAAGTACGAGCTCTAAGAAACTGCTTTGGAATTCAGTGAACTGCAAAGAGGAGGAGGGACTGTAAGAGGGGTATTAAACCTCACATAGGTCTGATTTACGTCCAGATTCTGCAAGGTCCTAGTCCTATCAGAGCTGTAGCTCCTCTGTCAGTGAAATGGGGCATCATGTCAGTAGCCCAGGATTCTGAGGACTGACTGAGTTGAGGCAGAAAGCACCTACTGTGTGACTGACAGTGAGCTGTGCATGGATATCTTACCAGGAATTTCCGTTTCTGCTTCCAGTGGCTGCCCTGGGCATTGGTGGCCACGTGTGCTTCAGTGACAGTTTTGATGAGCTCCCATTCCTCATCTGAGGGCTCCGGCTTGTGTCCTATGGATTTCTGCAGCTCCTCCCGCCGCCTCTTTTCCCGGTTCTCCTCAATGAGCTTCCTCTTGGCCAGCCTCTTGCTGTCATCCAGCACCACTGGGAGGGAGAAAGGTGAGGATACATGTGGATATCCCTAAGTGTGTGTACATCCTGGAGCCTCAGGGGTGGGGACCACTGAGGCACAAGTGGATCAGTGTGTTTCTTAGGGGGGGATAGGTCACATTAGGGCTTTCTCTTCCCCTGGCAGCAAATTGTTACTGGTCAGCCATTGTCCAGCATGAGCCCCTGTGCCAAATTCCTAATGCCCAGTCAGCTTTTCAAAATGAAGCTCTGCAGTAAGCTGCACTTTGGCCCCTCCAACTCCACAGATGGAAGCCCTTGGAAGGGGTGCAATAGAGAGAAGTGAAATTTATCCTACTTCAGGATCACAGGTAAATCTGTCTAGTCAGTCATCTAAATTCACTCATGTCTTTATTTCTTCCCTCCTTTCTTAAGATTCCTCTTAAAATGGTGAGGAGACGTCAGGCCAAAGAACAATTGTGGAGTGGGATGGGAAGCTCCTGGTTCCCTCCTCTGAGGAACAGGACCAAGTCTTCATTGGCTCATTTATAGGCTAATCCTGTGGTGAGACCTATCTTGAGCTAGCTTCGCAGATGTACACTTTACACCGCTCCATAGGTGATCAACTTGCAATGGAAATTAAGGAGCCCAGGCCTCAAACTCTAGACAGATGTTGACTTGAATTCTGACCCTAATACTTCTGGCTGTGTGACCTCCTCAGCTCTCTGCATTTTCTTTCGTTTCTTCCTAAATGAGATCAGTAATACACTACCCAAGGTACTAAATGTTGTAATACTCAGCACATGCAACCATAACTTTTATCATTTGTGCAAAAGGGAAGAGTAGGCCACAAGAAATTTGTACTTCCATGGTCAATTTCCAAAACAAAACCATGTCACTAGTCTCTTAGTGTCTATCAGTGAAATAGAAGTAGCAGAGTCACAATGTTTTAGAACCAGAAGGGACCTCAGATATCATCCAACTTCTCCTTTCCCAGAGGAGGAAACTGATCCTGAGAGCTTGGGACTTGTCTGAAGTCATAGAGCAAGCTCACGGCCGAGCCAGGCCTAGAACTCCTGACTCCAGTTTTATAACATCACGGTTCCAAGACCATTTCTTAAAACAGAAAACAGAGAAGGAAGAGAATCAAGGTGCCTAGATAACTCACAAACAGAATACGAAACCCTGAGTATTTGACGCTGGAGTGGGTTGTCAAAGCGAGCAGCTATCATGGCAGGGAATATGGAAAAGGCCTGCTAAATCACTTTGGTTCTTGCAGCAAAGCTAATAATGCGCAGAGCTTTATTTTCTGAATGCATCTAGCATGTCAGAAACAGTTGGCAATGGACATTAATTATCTAACATAATCCTGGACAGAACCCTCTAAAGTTGGCAGTGATTTCAGAGCAGAGAAACTGAAGGCTTAATACTGGGGGGGTCACAGAGCTAATAACTGACAGTGCTGAACCTCAAAGATTATTTTTTGTTAAATCATAAAGCCTGAGTTCTTAAAATGCCTCCCAAACAAGTCAGAAAACACCAAATTTTATCTTCACACAATCTAGATTAACAAAATTTCTTAACCTCAAAATACTCGTATGTTAAAGTTCTTAATGAAACAATGAAATAGATGATCAACCATAATGATTCATTACAGTAATGTATCTAAACAATTGGTCCCAAGTAAATCATAGTCACATATCCTTCTCAGGCATATTGCTGGCAAGGCTAAAACCTTTAAAAGATAAAGAACAGACACAGCTAGAGGTAGGGATTAACTCAGGATTTTCAGCCTAACACCATAACACGACCCTCTTCCCTTTGAATGATCCTTCGTTCTGTCTTCCTTACCATGCAAAGCAAGATCTTCCATAGTTTTTTTGTTGTTGCTATTGTTTTCTCAGAGAAAATTCTATTTTTCACATCAGGGTAAGCATGATTATTTTCTTTTATATCAGAAAGAATCCTCACTGAATTTTCCCTTTCTTTCCTTTGTTTTTCTTTTCCTTTTAAATGTTTAGCTAACAGTTGGAATTCCTCCCTGATGTGTAAAAGTTTATGGCAGTAGAAATCATTAACTCTGATGTCTGACAAAGGGGAAGCCTTGTTGTGAGGCACACGATTCTTTTCATGATTAATTAAGGTGACTGGTGTAAGTCCCTTACACACTGTGGGGAGGAGAGACCCGAAGGGCTAATCTCACCACCATATGCTGTGGCACTGGGGACACTGGGGATGACCACTTTAGCTCCAATGACTTTATGGCTAAAAATACAAGAAGCAACCAAATGAAGGGTGCTTCATGAATTTTCTAGAAGTTTCCTAGACATTTTTTGCTAATGTTCTGTCTCTAAAAAGTGCCCATAAAATAATTTGTCTTTGCTTTGAAAAAGAATATAAGAACTAGGACATGAGGCTCTGATCACATGTGTGAAGATTACTAAGTTAAAGGGATGAGGCCTTACTTGTAACACATTGCAGGGTTGGTAACAGCCCATCCTCCCAGCACTATAGAGGTAATTTATAGGGATAATTTCACCACTTTATTTCCCTCATCATCTGGCTACTTTGAGAGTTAAGAGTTGATAGGACAGGAGTAGAATAAAACCCACACAGCAATAGCTTCTACCCTCTTGGATGGCAAGCGGGAAGTGGGGAGGGACAGGGCTGGGGAAACCATGTATTCCCCTCTCTGTCTATGTGGGTCCTCACTACTTTTCTGCCTGACTGATCTTGAACCAAATCCTTCCCCAATCAGCACTCCTTGAATATGAAGCAAATGAAGATGATCTACTTACAATCTGTTGCCATGCCAACATAGATACATTTCTTGAAGCGACATTCCTGGCACTGATTTCGTGTGACTTTGTCTATGACACATTTTCCTTCATATTTACAGGAATAGGATGGATGGAGATTTTTCTGAATGGTTCTTCTAAAGAAACCCTACATGAGAAAGAAAGACCCAAGATAACAGTTTTATATTTTCAAGAAATAAATGATTCTGGAGCTTTGAGTCCGTATAATTATAAGATGAATTGTTTGGGGCTTTAACATACATTTGGGCTTCTAGTTTTATCTGTTTCCACTAATATGGGATAGCAGGCCTAAAGGGAATCTAAGGAGCTGAAGGAGCTGTCAAAGGACTTCAGAGTCAATATGACTTTGAGGGGGCCGGGGAGATGGCTCAGTAGGATAAGTGCTTGACTGGCGAATGCAAGGATCAGAGTTCAATCCCCAGTTCCACCAAAAAAAATAAAAAAAAAAAAACAACAAAGAGAAATCATTTTTTTTTAAAAAAGCAACAACAACAAAATCTTATTCCAAGTATTTCAGTAATTTTTTTTTTTTGTGTGTATGTGCTTAGCTATACACTAGGTTGTTGTTTTTTGTGAGGTGGTTCAAAAGGATAAAAATGAAAGCTTTCTTTTTTTCCTTTTTTTTTGAAGCTGCTGTTTCTTTATTTAATTTTTTCATTTATTTATTTATTTTTGGCCTGTTTGATGTATGGGGGAAACAATGTTGTCCAACAATAAAACAGAATTTTATTTCAAAAAGAATTACCACTTTGGATTTTACTCAAAGAAATGAAGCCAATGGAAGAATCTAGTGCATTTGATAATATTTATTATTTTTCATAGCATGTTATAATTATGCTGCTGAATTAAGCTATGAGGAGCTTTACTAATTTATACTAGGAAAAAGAAGAGCTGGCTAACTGTGATACTTTACCAATTAATAATGTAATCATTTCATAATTAAATAGATGCATTATCTGCATCTAGAGATTTCACTTAATTCTCATTTCGACTTCTGAGATGGCTCTCAGTCTTTCAAATGCTTTTCAGATTTTCCACAAAATATCTCCCTAAACTGATTGCACTGAAGTTTTTCTTTTCATAACCCTCTTTTGCTCTGTATCTGTAGACATACACCTATGAATTCAGTATGCTTTCTCCTTCCTGAAGTGTACAGTTCAGTTGTAGGTTCAGAGTATGTGGCTTACATGGAATCATTAAGGAGGTCCTACTAGAACTTTTGTGGATTGACCCCTACATCTCAGCAGCTGTATTCTGAATTGTGGGACTTAATAAGGGCACTGAGCACCTGCACAGGGCTGTTGGATGCACTCCATATTCTTTTCTCTTCCCCACAATCTAAGTTATGAGGGAGAAGATCTAAATATCTCCATGATAGAGGTGAGAAGAGTTAATTGCTACACAGGTTAAATTACTTGCTTCAAGTCATGTGGTAACTGCATACTGGAACTTGATTAGGAGCACAAGATATATACTCCAAATCTCATTTGCTTAGCATTTATATAATGTAAAATGAAGTGTGCTTACTGTACTATTTAAATGAATAAACAGTCCTTTTCAATCTATGACTCAGAAAACTTCCATTTTATCTGTTTTGGGGACCAGCAAGATAGCTCAGCAGTCTAAGTGCCTGCTTAGCCAAGCGAAGGGACCAGGATTTGGTTCCTGGCACCACATGGAGCACTGGCCCCACCCTTGGGCTTCTCTGTTTTGGTAGATTTTTTTGGTCTTTTTGAGACAGGGTTTCACTACGCAGTTCAAGCTGGCCTTGAACTCATTTTGTAGCCCAGGCTGGCCTCAAACTTGGAGCAATCCTCCTGCCTCAGCCTCTTGAGTCTTGGAATTACAGGCATGCACTACCATGCCTGGCCTCTGTTTTGGTAGATTAGCAAGGTTTTAAGAGGTTCTCAGCTAGGGTTGGGGAGATGGCTCAGTGGAGTAAGTGCTTCCCTGGCAACCTCAAGGGCCTGAGTTCAATCCCTGATTCTGCAAAAAAAAAAAAAAAAAAAAAAGAGGTTCTCATCTAAAATGTGAAAGGGGCTTCTCTGTAAAATAAATTGTGGGCCTTAAATGTCAATTGTTCTTGCTTTAGCCCACATTTTTATTATCTCATTTTTTGATTTAAATTACATACATATGCCCACTTTCACACAAAAGCTCTTCAATATATATAAAAGGTCCACAGCAGAACACACTGCAAAAACCCTAGGGAAAACTGAGAGTTGTAGGCTTGTGGGGACATGTGTAGACCATTTCCACTCTTCAAGTTCTAATAGAAAAACTGTCTTGTTGCATTTTGATTTTGCATCCATAAATACTGGAGTGTGTGAACCTGTAGGATTGGACACATGGTTATGGGGTTATAGAATCACAGGTAGGCATCAATACGAGATGTCAGCCACGTTTCCCTGGGGCTAGAGGGCAGGTAAATCCTGCCAGAAATGGGACGTCAGAGTGTGTCATGTGACTGAACACACACTTGTCTGTGAACTGCCCTCTGCTAGGTGCCCCTCTGTCCACGGAGAGTAGAGAAAGGCAGAAGAAACCCCGAGCTTCCTGGCAGAGGACACCCAGGGGCAGGGTAGGGGCCGGCCAGCACTCCTTTCCCGGAGGTCACGTTTCTCCAGAGGTGGATGTACTCAAATCTAAGACTGTCAGCAAGAGAGAGTGCCGAGGGCTGAGTGCTGCTATAAAAACAGGAAAAGGGTTTTTGTGTCTGGAACTGGGGTGACTTTTTCTCCCTCACACTCTGATGCCAGCTTGTGCTAAGGAAGTGGGGGACCAAGGAGGGAGATAGCACTCTAAGGTATACTATACCAGAAGGAGGGGCACCTATTTCTCTCTAAAGCCTGTTCTGGGTACTCTTTGATGGAGTGAGTGAAATAATTTATATTTGCCTATTTGGAGAAAGCAGTTGTGGTGGTTTGCGGGCCTATGCATGGTGTTATCCTGCTGTGGCCTACCTGTGGTGTGTTTTTTTGGATGCTTCCTGGGCCCAATCCCTTCTATACTACTGTGTCTCTGAAGTACAGAGAAGCATATTTTTGTTTTACATGTGATGAAGGACTACTTTATATGAGTAAATGTAAAAATATTAGGTCCCTTAATTTTTAAAAATGACAAAAATTAATTTCTAGCAACAAACTTAGGGGAAGACATTTATCATAGTATTTTTGTGTAATATAAATGTATTTATAATTTACTTATTTAAAAGAAATCCTTTTAGCTCAGCCATAGAGCATCTACTTCACATTTGTGAGGCCCAGGGTTCAATCCTCAGCAAATACCCCCACCGGCCAAGAAAAGGAAAAGTTGATGAGAGATTTCTTTGGGAATAAACAAGGACACATATCTCACTGTTTCGTTGGTGAAGAGGTGTGCTACTTTATACATCAATCATACCTATTTCTGTGCATTCTGAGAATTGGATCCACTTCTCTGAGGTTCAAGATAAAGTACTAATCATTGAGATAAAGAGCACATGTCACCTTCCTAGTTCAACATTTGGACAGGTTTGGGTACTTCTTAGAGAATAGCTTATGGTGGGGAAGCACAAACATTCCTTCTATAAGACACGTATAAAAACTGGCACAATTATCCTGGTCTTTTGAAAGGAGCAGTTAATGTTTAAAATATATTTTTTCTTTTTATTCTTATTTTTTCTTTCTTTTGAATTTCTTACCACTGTTATTATTGTTTGTTTTGCTTTTTCTTTAAGCCAATCTTACACGTTCGTATCTGGTAATCTGAACAACTAATTTGAAGATAATATGCAATACAGCAACCATTGTTGAATTCCTATTACTTTGTTTAGTGAAATTTTGTATAGTTTTAAATACTTTTTTCTTTTCTATCACTATTTTGTATTTTTTTAAAAACCTGGCACATCACAATAGACAAGATATGTCCAAAGGGTTTCACTTTAAAAATTTTTTTTATTTTGTACTTCAATGAGCACACTGCATGTGATAAATATTTTAATAGTGACTAAGCATGAGACAAACATTTTTCAAAATTCTATTAACTCTGTGTAGCGTTACTATGTTGTAAAGGTCACATTTCCTCTACAACAGAGGAATATATTTACATGCTCCAGGATTTGCCACAAGGATTTCACTTTTGTCAAGGCAAAAATGATTGTACCCCTACTGTGTGGGTTAGAAATGTTTTTAAATTACAGATTTGAGTCAATAGTATAGAATGTAACTGTTTTGATGTTTCGCCACTCTTAAAAAGTTATGCATCAGTTGAAAAAAATCTTGTCTTTTTCCAAAATGCTTTGTCATTATAGTGAATGAGGCACAACCCCCACCCCTGGCACCCAGAGGAGGCTCCTCTTTGGTTTCATGATGGAGGCAAACCTAAACACAGTACTATTCTCATCAGACACAAAGGTTGAAAATACACAGATGTATACAGACATAGGGTTTGAAAAACTTAACCTGTTGGTAGTTGATTTTTCTTTGAAGCAAACCTCAGCTCAATCAAGAAAACTTCAAGATCCAGTGGTCCTGAGAGAAGAAGCTAGCTGATTTTAGTGAGGTGGGGACTTAGGGGAATAGGCTCAATTTTTCCTTTGTTCAAGGGCAATCTCTACTACTGCATTCAGTCCTCTGGATGAGACTCTTAGCCTGGAGAGTCCCATAGTAGAGTTAAAAATTAAATGCAATTTTCATTAGATTCTTTCCCAGGATTCAAATTGAATCATAAGAAGCTGATTTAAAAGAATCTCAATGCTGCATAATCAGGCAGGTAAAGCCTTTTAAATTAAGGCTAATATCTGAAAAAAAGGCCAGCTTTAATCACTGAGCTTTTGGAATCAGAGAATGTATCTAGAGTTCTATAGTATTATTACTTTCAGTACAAGCCAATAAAACTGCTTTCAAGAGAGGGTTTGCAAGCATTCTAATTAATAAATAGCCAGGACTTTTGTAATTAGCTTTATTAAACTTGTTAAGACATTATTTTCATAGTTACAATGGCAACCTTTAGCCCAGTCTTTGCTGAAGAACCACAAAATCCAGATCAAAGGGGTCTGCCTGAAGGAAGACCATATTACACTATATTCCAAATAGAATCTCACAAAGAAAAGGCCTCGGGACCTTAAGACATTACCTCTTCCAATGCATGTATAATCGCAACATGCTTAGCAGGCTTCTCCTAAGAGTTTCCTAATTTCATGCATAAAATGAGGGTATTTTCATGGAAAAATTTCTGCTAGGGAAATGGAATTCTCCTTGGTGTAAAACCAAATAATATGTTCATTTTGGGGGTCTAGGCAGAAGGGCAGGAGGAAAGGAGGTCTCAGAGGAAGGGAAGAAGAGCAAATTAGGCAGGCAAAGGAGGAGGGAAGATGGAGTGATTTTTTTTCTTCTTCAAATTTCAGTACAATTTTTGCTTAAGAATTTACTCCTTTAGTGGGTTTTAAATATAAAACATTGAAAAAGAAAATGATTATTTTCTAGGTGAAGTTTTTTGACCAAAAGATACTTTCCATAAAGCTCATCTTAATGTTGTTGGTGAGGATTGTAATTAGGCAAATTCAGACTCACTCTCAGGAGGTGAATGGACTGCTGTTCTCTGGTATGTTCCTGTCAAGTATCTCTTGAATGCAGAAAATACAATTACCTGATGGACAACCTGAATCTCCTTACTGCGGGCTGTGCTGAAAGCCACTTTAGATCAACTTCAGCGCATAATTGAACCTAAGTAGCCTCAAAGGTATTTCCTAATGGAACTCTGAAGTGGGCACATTCATGGAGATTAGCAGTGAAAAGGGCCTGTGACAGAGCAAGCCCCATCTCCTCCAATTTTGGAGATAAAACAGAAAAAATGTCAGTGTGCTTTTAGCTTGTTAACTTTGTGGGATGATAATGTATTTAAAAATTTATGTCTTTAAGAATGCAAAGTAAAAGTTTTATCAATTTCTTTTGCTTTTTTTGATCCTCTTCCTGTTTTAAGACTTACTGAAGAAGTCAGTCCTCACACTCTCATAAACTCAGTTCCTAAACACATCAAAAACGTGAGCGCCACCAGACCCCTGGATGGTCACCGGTGAGGAATGTTGAAATCTGGTTTTAATTTGAATTCAAATACTGAGCTCCAGCAGCACACAGGGAGGAGAGCAGCAGGGTTCTTACCTTGCAGCCTTCACATGTGATACAGCGATAGTGGTACCCCGTGGCTTTGTCGCCACACACCACACAGAGCTCATCCTTGTCCAAATAGCTGGGGATGTACCCTGGGAAGGAGGAAAAGGAGGGAGGTGAGTACGTGAGCCATGTGCACGTCGGAGATACACCAGGGCTGAGATTATCTGACCAGTGACAACACTGGTTTGCCAAGAGGAGGTAATGACAGGGGTGAGACCCGCAGCAAGCATCTTACATTTGCAGAGTAACCATCTGCAGATGCTGATGAGATCCTCGCTGTTGTGCAGATGAGATCAGATGAGGAGGCTGTTGGAGCCCACAAGTCAAGTAGACAGACCGGGATTTGGATTACTCTCAACACTGAATTCTGGATAACATAATTTTTTTTTCACATGGCTTATTTAAGAACTTATTCTTGATAGACTTTAACTACTGCGGGGGTCAACATACTATGCATTGATTTCAGAAAATTTCATAGCTGGGAAGGTGCTAGGATATCTCTAAGCACTTCTTTTAAAAAAATCATTTATTTACTGATTTATTTGGTACGGGGTCTTGCTATGCAACTCAGACTCATAGTGATCCTCCTGTCTCAGCCTCTCCATTTCTGGGATTACAGGTGTGCGTCACCACACCAGGTTTCAGCAGCCATCATGATGTGCCTGGTACAGCATGCGGTACCAGGGATCAAACTTGGGTCCTTGCACTTGCCAAGGAGGTGCTTAGGCCATGGAGCTATCTCCCCAGCCCCAGTTTCTTAAGTAATTCTGAGGGAAAGAAACTGGCCTTTGGGCTAGGCCTTTCTCAGGGTCACACTGGACTTTACTGGCAGAGACTAAGATGAGAGGCCCTTGATGTCCAATGCCCAGGATAAATTATGCTGGTCTTTGCTAAAATAGAGTTGAATAGAATGATAAAGGCCATCTGAAACAATGTGGTACATTTGGGATGTTATAATACACAATCCAACAACATGGGGTAGTATGAACTAGTTGTGATTCTCTTGAAAAGAAAATCCAACCATCAGAAGTTCCTTCCTCAGGGTACTTTTAGTTTGTCAGTTTAATTGTCTTAACCCAGAAAAATGAGGTTTTAAAAAAAGTTAGTCTGTCTTTGTTTCTTTTCCATGGAGACAACGTTTCCTTCCCCCCCCCCCCCCCGAACCTGCTTTGGAAGGGCAAGTTCAGTTCCACGTGTATCAACTCTTCACCGCAAAAGCACACAGTTTTAGGGAAAGCCCAAACATCAAAACAAGGCACAATTATAATTGAGAAAATAAAAGCAACCATTCTTAGGAAGTTCTGTGATTCAGCAAGCTTAGTCTCCATAAAAGATCAGTTAGGATGAAATGATTGGTAACTTACTGCATATTTTACTATGACATTTCCACAAACCTTTTATTAAATAAACTAGGCTTCTCAGGGCTTATTTTTCAAAGAAGAAAAGTCATAAAGAAAACAGAGTAAAATGAATCCTTTTCATAATTTCTTAGAAATTACTTTGCTCAGACTTTAATTTAGAAAAACGTTACTTCTTGGGAAGCAGGTAGATAGTTTCAAAGAAAGATTTGGTGATCTATAAAATTATATTACAGCTCTTCTTGGCTTTGGCTTCATACAAACCATGACTCATCTGTTGAGCTCACTTCCAGGGTTTCAGAACTCTCACCAGACAATTTAAAAGAGAATTCTGGGAAGTATCTGGACAAGAAAAAGGGAACTGGCATGGCTTTTGTGTTATCTGTTCTCTCATCTATTCATTAATTATCAAACATTTATTTAACATCTACTATGTAGGTGTTAAACACCTCAGTAGGTCCTGAGAAGACAGAAAGGAATAGAACATGATTTCTTTCTTTGAGAAATATATAAGCAACTGGGTTCTGGTTTTCCAGCTCTGATCTTTCCTCAATAATATAAAAAAGAGAAATAATGTAAAAGACATGAAGAGATGCTTAACATCACTATAAAACTGCAAATCAAACAGGGAGACATTAGATCCCACTTACAAAGATAATATTCCTGAAAATGACATACTAACAAGTGATGGAAAAGATAGGTACTCATGTGCCTGGATGGCAGATAGACACCTACTTAGAAGGTAACTTTTAAACTACAGACTAACACACGCATCTTCCCGGTAAAGGCGAATAGATTACATATCGAAATGGTCAGGACAGCTACACCTTCACCTCTGAGTCTTCTCAGTTATGTATAGTTGATTTCATGGAGTGAAGAATTTTCAGTGCTGGGTATCCAATGTGGACTAGAGAGGTAAAGGAGAGAGTCCAAGTCATTTTCCTCTATTCTAGGTGCCTGCTGTCACCCAGTTGGGCACTGTGCTGCTTATGGGACATGCCATAGGAGAGCCAAAACATGGCAGTGAGAATGTTAATCACAGCTGGGAAGGTGGGCATAATCCACCTCACCTCATCCTACCTCACTACACCTGCTGCTTTCATCTTCTGGCACTGACAGTAGAGCACTAAAGATTTCTTCTTTTCTGTAGCTCATTTATGTAGGCATTTATTTAGCTCATTTATTTAGGTTTGACCTTTTAGGTTCTTGTAAATTCTAGAACCCAACACTAATGAGAAAGTAGACTTTCATATTCTGTTATTAATTAATTAATTAATTAATTAGGTACAGAGTCTTGCTAGGCAGCTCGGACTCATAGTGATTGTCCTGTCTCAGCCTCCCGAGTGCTGGGATTATATGTGTGCACCACCATGTCCAGTTTTGGTGGCCAATATGGTACTGGGATTCAGCATGGAACACAGTTCTGGAGATCGAACCCGGGTCCTTGCGCTTGCTAGGCAGGAGCTTAGACCACTGAGCTATCTCCTGGGCCCAACTTTCATATTCTGACTGCTCTGAGAGAGGGGGTTTGCTTTACTCTCTTATTTCTCCCAGATTACTTTCTTGGTAGGTGGAAGTGACAAAGTACCTTAAATCACCAAATCTACCGAAATGTTAACTTAACTTAATGGCAGCTGATTACAGGATCAAGCTAGTGCACCGTCCTTGCTGCTTTGTTTTCTTTACATTGTTAGTTCTGAGCCATCTTATTTATCTAAAACAGTCAGTCACAAGTAATGATACATTAATCATTATGTCTTAGTCCCTTATTCATCATTAAACAACTTCCATCAGAGAATAACATCCCACACATAATGACTAGGTGGAGAGAGCGTCTCTTTAGGCTAATGGATACACCTGACATTGTCACATGCTCACGGATCCTCCTAGAGAACCTATTTCCTGCTGTTTAATCTCAAAGTCTCCATCTTTTCTCTCTCTTTTAAAAAAAATATTCACAAATTGAGTGACATGCTTCCAACATGCCCAAATGTGGAAAACGCACATGTAACATTTGCTCCATCACCACATCTCGACACTGACTGGCATGTGTCACGATGTCAGTGTCGTGCGAGACACAGTTCTGAAGCCTGATTATCTGAGAAGCTGTGTCTGTGTGTTGTCCCGGGAAACTGTGGAAGGAACCCGGCCAACCCCCACCCCCACCAACTAAGACCCATGATAGGCTGTGATAGCTCAAGAGTGATGCTTTCCCCAGTTTTATATGTCACACACATTTGTCTTCAGAATAATAAACTACACTGTCATTTTATAAAATATATTTTTATGAAATATAAAAATATTTGTTCAACAAAGGACTTAGTTTTTTTTTTTTGCTGTTGTTGTTGTTGGTATTTGGCAATCTCTGATGAATTTCTGGGTATCCTGCATATAAAATAAGCTGGCTTGGTAAAATATTACCCTTTTAAAATAATCTTTTGGAAATAACTTTATTAAGATATAGTTCATATGCCATATGATTCAATGGCTTTTACTATATTCAGAGTTGCATACTATCATCACTATGATGAATCTTACAACATTTTCACCATCCAAGAAAGAAACCTCGTACCTTTAAGAGTCACCCCCTAGTCCTTCCTTCTCCTCCACCCTTTTGACCCTTGGCAACCACTAATCTACATTTTGTTTTTACAGATTTTCTAACTCTGGACATTTCATCCAAGTGAAATCATATAATATGTAGCTTTTTACTTAGCAGAATGTTTTTAAGATTTATCTATTTGCAGCTAATAGTAATTTTACAAAATTTGGTTCTCAGAAGGTTGAGATATGGAAGGGGAAACTTGCACATTTATAGTACAAAACTGTGTAACAGATAATGAGGTTGTCTTTTTAGCTTAGGTTAAAGTCAAGCTTCCTCCTACATTGCTAAAACCAGGAGCCCAGCTAGTTTAATTCTTTTGATTGAATTCTAACAGCATGGCAGGTCCTAGGAAGAAATATTTTGGAACTTCTTGACAGACACATGACTCTTAGGTAATAAATATAAAGCAGATTAATCTCATGATCAATCTAAAATAAAAGGTCATGCCTAGGAAGGAGGGAAGAGGAGCTGAATCTGGAGGCCTTTTTCCATCTGACTAATCTTACCTTCTTTTCTTTTCCTTTTTAAAAAATCTTACCTTCTAGGTAAGCCCACCTGCCAAGCAGAACCAGGCCTGCTGTTTTAAGGGAGCCATTGTTATCTACGGTAGTGGTAAGTACTCCGGGCATCTCAATGAAGTAAAGCACTTGCAGGTTACACTGTGTATTTGAGGAGCGGCATTGGTTACTAGTAAAGAAGTCTGATGAATAACTCTCCTCATCCTGAAAATAGTCAAAGTGAATTCTGATCGATCTTTCCAACTAAGAACTCACAGCCAACAAACCCCGGGTAGGTTAGGATTCAGAATAAGTCTGCATTTTCTTCTAAAGAAGCCACCAAATTATTAGTATGCTATTTATTTCCTAGTACTGGGTATTGAACCCAGGGACTTTGCACAGAGCTACACTTTCAATCTTTCTTTTTTCTTTAGACAGGTGAGGTGGTACACACCTGTAATCCCAGGACTCAGGAGGTTGAAGCAAGAGGACTGTAGCAAGTTCAAGACCAGCCTGGGCTACGAAGTGAGCTCAAGGCCAGCCTGAACTGCATAGCGAGACTCTGTCTCAAAAAGACACACACACACACACACACACACACACACACACACACACA